TCTCTCTCTCTCTCTCTCTCTCTCTCTCTCTCTCTCTATATATATATATACATTATAAAAAACTGTCCGCTGGGTGCCCAGCGAGCTTATGATTCGGGCGAGCCGAGTCGAATCTGCGATCGGTTTCCTAGCGCATGGCGTCTTATCACCCGTCACCTGGGTGTGAATATGAGTAAGGATGAGGGTCCCTTTTTCCTTTGGGGGGGCAGCTGATCCTGGCGAAGGGGGTTTTGGAACGCGTGGTAGCAGCAGTGAGATCTTCGACGGCAAGGAATGCGAACGGAACCGTCAATGTCCTTCTCAACGTTTCGTAGGTTTGTCGGCTCAGTGCCCTGGTGACTGCAGCCTGGCGCACGAGGTGGGCAGCCCCGCGGCGGCTGGAGATCCAGCCGCGGCCGCGGGAAGGTCAGCGGCCGAGATCAGCGCCGGAGACTCGGCGCGAGGCGCCGAGCTCAAGGGCAGCTCAGGCTGCGGCTCGACGGCCAGTAAGACGCCTCTGGCCAATCTCGGTGGCGAGCTGGCTGCCCCTCGTCGGCGACGCGACCGTGGAGCTCGGCAGGCAGCCAGCCCAGCCCGCCGCGACCGCGAATGGGCGTTGCGGTCTCGCGGCCGAGGCCGCGTTGCAGGCCAGGCCGCGGGCGTTGCAGAGTCGGGCAGAGTTGCTCCGTCGGGGTGCTCCCCCGAGCTGGGTCGCGAGTCGGGCGGCGACGAGCAGCAGACGAAGTCCGCGCTTGGCCGAGCGGCCGGATCGGCTGCGGCCGACGCCAGCGGGTCTGCTGACGATCGGCGCCTGGAACGCCGGCGCGAGCGGCGGTTCTAGAGGGGGCGACCGCGCCGCGGGGCGCGGCGCGGCGCGGCCAACGCCGAGGCGACGGGTTGCGCGGCTGGTTGCTCGGTCGACAGCGCGCGCTGCGACGGGGCCGCCGAGGCCGCGGCCATGGTCGAGCCTGCCAAGGTCACAGGCGTTGCCCGCCCCGACCCGCTGAAGGACACCGAGGGCGCGCTTCTGGTGAGCGCTGCGTGCTGACCGAGCGAGGGCGCCAGTGAAGGCGGCCGCTGTGCCTAGCGCCCAGTCCGCAGGCTGGCCGATCAGACGGCGGCAGGATCGCGCTGAAACTGGCCGAGCCTCTCGCCGACAGCGTTGTCGCGACCCTGGGCAGCGCCGACAGCGCGCAGGCGGTCGCAGGGCAGAACCCAGAGACGGGCGGTGCGTCAGCCGTTGCAGCGCCCCCGCTGCCCGTCGCCGGGCGGCCGACTGGCCGCCTGCGCGAGGCAGCTCGAGGGCATCTCGATGCCAGAGCGGAGCGAGCTTCAGCTCGGGGGCCGTGGAGGCACTTGAGTCTGGAGGGGCGCTACTTCGTGGATGTCTTCCGCGGCAAGGGGGGCTGCGGACGGTCGGCCAAGCTTGCTGGGTTCCCAGCTCGGTTTTTCGACTTCGTGAATGGGGCTAAGGGCGACGAGTTGCGGCCAGAGGTGATGAATGGGCAGATCGCCGACATGCAGGCAGGGAAAGTACTTGGCATGGTGATGGGGCCGCCCTGTGCGACGTTCAGTGTTGCCGAGCACCGCTCCAAGACCTTGAGGGCGCAGGAGTTCCCGATGGGCGTTCCTGAAGTGCGCAGACAGGATAGGACCACTGTGAAGCAAGGGAATCAGCTGATGCGCGCCGCGGTGCGGCTTGCGCGTGAGTCTCACGCGCGTGGTGTGCCGTGGATTATCGAACACCTACACTCGTTTTATTTTTTTTCCAAAACGCCCGCCATGGTGGCGCTGGGCGAGATGGAAGGAGTTTTCCAAGCAGTTTCAGATTTTTGTCAGTTCGGCACTCGGTGGAGAAAAGCCACGCGGTTTCTCTGCGGGCAGGTGGGCGAACCCGACCTCTGGCGCCTCCGTCGCCGGCGCCAGGGTAGGGGAGTGTGCTCTCGCACGGGGGCCGCCCACTTCGCCCTCGAGGGACACACCCCCAACGGGGCCAATTGGGCCCGCATCGCACAGGCCTGCCCGGCCTCTTTAGTGCCGAACGGTAGTGCAGATCTTACTTGCTCCGACTAGGGCCACGCGGCCCCAGCAAGTCTGGACTATAGAAGAGAACGTCCGTTTTCGGGTATGACTCGGGATTTGTCTTACAAGCCGGATTAATTATCTGTTGTGTCTGTCGCCCGTCGCTTTCGCATCGCGCTGCCGCAACGTACTTCTTAGGCATATCACTGCTACTGCAAAACGTGCTCTATCATGGGAGTGCGGGCGCAGTAATGATCTCTAGCAGTGGCTCAGTTGTATCGATCCCCTTTTTTATCTATCGCCATTATGGGCCAAGCTGCTCCCCGCCCCCCATGGCCAGGTGCCGGTTTCTCTTTTCGGGATTTGCTTTTCAAGCCGAATTAATTGTTTTTTATGTATGTCGGCCCGTCGTTTGCGCATCGCGCTGCCGCGACGTTCTTCTTAGACATATCACCGTTACTGCAAGACGTGCTCTATGATGATGTTGATGATGGTTATTATTATCGACTGCGTGCAAAACGCCCTTACCCTGGTTTACGAGTCGCTGTGCGCTGAACCTCCTGTGGGCTGAGAGGGTATACTCTGCGGGATGTGCGGCTTCCTGGCGGCTCTCTAAGCTTTGGGTTTTTTCAGGAAGTTTACAGACCCACTTACTTGTAACTCAGGGTAGGGTCCTTTTTCCATCCCTTTTATTCGACGATGGTGATGCTGATGACGAGGATGAGGATGATGATGCGGACGATGCTGATGATGTCGATGTTTAACCATGCTGCGGGTGATGACGGTGCTGACACTTTCGGTGACGGTGTTGCTTACGATGAGAATGATGAGGCTGCTGCTGCTGATGATGATGATGTTTCTGATACGTAGAATTGTGATGATGCTGATGCTGATGCTGATGCTGATGATGATGTAGACGATGGGGAATATGATGGTGATGCTGATGACTGCTGCTAGTGCATGGTGATACGGATGGTACTGAGGATGATGTCGATGATTACTGCGACGATAACGATGCTGCTAATGATGGCACGGATGCTTATGATGATGTTGATGCTGATGACACTGGTGCTCATGCTGATGATGGCTCGGATGCAGATGCTGATGGTTATGCGGTTGACGACGATGATGATGTTGATGAGGATGATGCTGATGATGACGAGGATGATGATGAGGATGAGGATGAGGATGATGAGTATGCTGATGCTGATGCTGATGCTGATGATGAGAATGATGATGTTGTTGTTGTTGATGATGATGATGACGATAGTGATGGTAGTGGTGGTGACGATGATGGAAATGAGGATGATGCTGACAGTGCTGTTCATGCTGCTGGTGCTTTTTGCCCATCTTTTTGGGGCCTCTTGGGGTGGGAGGGGGACTTCGCCTCGCCACGGCTGCATCTGCCTCGCACTCGGAGGAGGAGGGGGAGAAGGAGGAGGAGGAGGAGGAGTAGGAGGGGGACGAATGACGATGATGATGACGATGATGATGATGATGATGATGATGATGATGATGATGATGATGATGATGATGCTGATGCTGATGCTGATGCTGATGATGATGATGCTGTTGATGATGATGATGATGATGATGATGAGGATGATGATGATGCTGATGGTGATGATGATGATGGGGAGGAGGAGGAGGGGGAGAAAACAAGGGGGAACGTTAACACAGGTCTGGCCCGTGATTACCGCGGGCACTATACTAGATGCTGCGTCGGCGTTGCGTCCTCCTCCTTCCTCTACTACTCCACCAAAGAAGCGCTGGAGTATCCTATTTCCTCCTGCCCCTTCTCCCCCCTCCTCTCTCCTCCCCCGTCCTCTGGAGCCTGCCTTGCACTCAGCCACTCGTCGCACACACAAACACACGCACAAACACAGTCACACGCACACAACCACAAGCACACGCACAAGCACACGCACGCGCACACGCATTCGCACCCGCACAATCACAAGCGCACACACACACATACACACACACACACACACACACACACACGCACAAGGCACAACGCACGCAAAGGCGTACAACACACTCACAAGCACAACGCAGAAGCATCGCACACGCGCACACAAACTCATCATATATATAATTTTTAAAAAAAAAAAAAATATATATACATTTGCACACATGTATACACATTCACATATCTACAATGCACAGACACGCATGCCAACGTATACACCATATACACAAATGCATGTACACACAAATGTATATAGTTGTATATATGCATGTGCATGTACGTCAAGCCATATACACACCTATACACACGAACAGAAATACACATACACGTACCCACACATACACACATACACGCATAATCACGTACACACATTCATACACACATACATAAAACACATACACACATACACATGTACACATACGCATACACATATACACCCATTCGCACAACACACATATACACATACACACGTCTTTCACATACACACATACACATGCATTCATACACATGCACATACGCACATTCACATACACATGCACACATATCAACATTCACATACATAAACACAAACACACACACACATTCACATATACACAGACACACAGACACACAGACACACAGACACACATACACGCGTACACGCATACGCGTACACGCATACACGGATACACGGATACACACAGGCACACAGACACAAACTCGCAGACATTGAGGCACAGTCGCACACAGGCACATAGGCACACAGGGACACGGGCACACAGTTGCACAAGCACGCAGGTACACAGGCGCGCAGGCACACAGGAACACAGGCACATATGCACGCAGGCACACAGCACACAGGCACGCAGGCACAAGGCACACAGACACACAGGCACACAGAAACAGAAACACACAATCACACGTACAAGCCCACAGCCCGCAGGAGGGCGCCGTGCTTGAGAAGCCGGCCGGCTCGCCAGACTACGTCGCTCCGGAGGTCGCCAGGCCAGCCCCCTTCGCTGCCTTCGTCGTTGGTGTCGTTGCCTTC